GCCTTCCTTCAAGGCGCGTTACGTTGCTCGGGGCTTCAGTCAGCGACAGGGGGTCGACTACTTCCAGACCTTCTCCCCCACCCCAAAGATGACCACTCTTCGAGTTCTGATGCACGTCGCTGCTCAGCGTGACTACGAGTTGCACTCGCTGGACTTCAGCACAACTTTCTTGCAGGGTAGCCTGCACGAGGAGATCTGGCTTCACTGGGTCGTTTCCTGCAACTACCCAGTGGAGCCTCCGGCGGCCAGTCTACGGTCTCCGCCAGGCGCCTCGCGAGTGGCACGACACACTGAGGACTACATTTGCGGCTCTGGGGTCTACTCTTCTACTGCTGACCCGTCGTTGTTTCTACGCACCGACACGTCGCTGCCGCCATTCTACGTTCGCGTGTACGTTGACGACCTGGTCTTTGCCACGGCCGACACTGAGGCACTGACCCTTGTGAAATCGGAGCTGCAGAAGAGACACACTCGTGCACTGACCTGGGTGAAATGCGCAGCTATCTTGGCTTGCAGATCACCCGCGTCAGAGCACGCCGCACCATCGCTCTGACTCAGTCACACATGGTTCACCAGGTCCTTCAGCGCTTTGGCTTCACGTTCTCCTCGCCACAGCCCACTCCTCTGTCTACCGGCCACTCGCTCTCAGCTCCACCTTCGGACGAGTCCGTAGAGCCGAGTGGTCCGTACCCAGAGCTTGTGGGTTGCCTCATGTACCTGATGACGTGCACACGACCTGACCTCGTGTACCCTCTCAGCCTTCTGGCTCGCTACGTGGCTCTCGGTATGCACCGAAAGATGCACTGGAATGCTGCGAAGATGGTAGTGCGTTACTTGTGCAGTACGTCGGGCATGGGGCTAGTGCTTAGAGGACGGGGTCCAATTGTCCTCACTGGTCACGCAGACGCTTCTTGGCTTGACGACTTGGCTACGCACCGGTTGTCACAGGGTTACACCTTCAGCCTCGGTTCCGGCTCTGTTTCCTGGCGGTCTACCCGCTCGTCTTCAGTTCTCAGCTCCAGTTGTGAGGCTGAGATCTATGCCGGGGCCATGGCTGCACAGGAGCTATACTGGCTCATCTACCTGTTGACTGACTTGGGAGAGCAGCCTCGTTTGCCTCCAGTTCTGTACGTAGACAACAAGGCCATGATTGCCTTGTGTCAGGAGCACAGACTGGAGCACAGAACGAAGGACATCGCTCTGCGATACTTTCTTGCTCGAGAGTTGCAGCAGCGTAGTCAGCTTCGTCTTGCGTACGTGGCCACTAGGGCCAACACTGCTGATATATTCACCAAGGCACTTCCGCCTGCGCTTCTCTACTGTTTTAGGCCTTGTGCCTACTTTGCCTCACTTGCTCACTACGTGACTTTGCTTGTACTGTGATCACTGCACTGTTTGCTATGCTGTGATCACTGTACTGTTTACTCTTGCTATGCTGTGATCACTGTACTGTTTGTGCTCTTTATATAACACTGTATGTGAACTGGCCTTATGGCCCTTTGCTTGTGCTCGGACTGTGTGGTGACTTCATGATCCACCCTGAGCTTGCTTTGCTTTTCTTGATAGGTCTTGTGACCATTTTTTCTCCCCCACTTTGCCTATGGGGGTGTGTCAGAATGTTATATTGGTTACTTTGTGTAGGCTATAGTGGGGTAGCCCATAAGGGGTACAACCCAATTAGGGTTAGTACTTGTACCCAACTCTTTCATAGTTCATTCATTCTCGTTCATTCTTCTGACATAAAATGGAAGCAAAAAACGGAAGCAGAAAACGGAAGCAGCAAACATAATGAAGGAAGGAGGGAAGGAAGTATGAAAGGTAGGAGGGAAGGAAAGAAGGAAGGACGGACTGAAGGAATGAGAGAGCAAGACCGAGAGCGAGAGAGCGAGAGAGAGAGAGAGAGAGAGAGAGAGAGAGAGAGAGAGAGAGAGAGAGAGAGAGAGAGAGAGAGAGAGAGAGAACGAGAGAGAGAGAGAGAGAACAAGAGAGAGAGAGAACAAGAGAGAGAGAGAGAGAGAGAGAGAGAGAGAGAGAGAGAGAGAACGAGAGAGAGAACGAGAGAGAGAACTAGAGAGAGATAACGAGAGAGAGAGAACGAGAGAGAGAGAGAGAGAGAGAGAGAGAGAGAGAGAGAGAGAGAGAGAGAGAGAGAGAGAGAGAGAACGAGAGAGAGAGAGAGAACGAGAGAGAGATGTTAGAATCTAGAGTGACTTAGGAGCCATGGCATTGAGTGTCGAGAGAAAAGTCGAGAGAAGGATGAGAATGATGTCACTAGCAAGAGTTGGGATACAAATAGCAAACCCTAAATTTGGTTGTACTCACTACAGAGTACCCCACTGCAGGCTAGACAGCAAATACATTCTAACAAGAGAGAACGGGAAAGAGAACGGGAGAGTGAGAGCGGGAGAGTGAGAACGTGAGAGAGAGAACGCGAGAGAGAGAACGAGAGAGAGAGAGAGAGAGAGAGAGAGAGAGAGAGAGAGAGAGAGAGAGAGAGAGAGAGAGAGAGAGAGAGAGAGAGAGAGAGAGAGAGAGAGAACGGGAGAGAGAGAGAGCGGGAGAGAGAACAGGAGAGAGAGAACGAGAGAGAGAGAGATTGAGAACGAGAGAGAGAGACAGGGAGAGAGATTACGAGAAAGAGAGAACGAGAGAGAACGAACGAGAGATAGAGAGAGAGAGAGTAAAAAAACAGAAACTAAGAACGAAGAAACGATGCAGCTACGAATAGGAGTGTCTAATCGAAGAGTTAGAAAAAAGAGAAGGAAGGGTGAAGAACGGATAAAGCAAAAATGGTCACGAAAACCAAGACAAACGTCACTAGATGCGGAATCTATCAAAGGGAAGGAACAACTCGATAAAATCTTAAGAAACGGAATGAAGGAGATCAGTACGGAACAAAGATGGGACTGGAAGGAAAAAAGAAGGAGGAAAAAACAACTACCGGAATGCATGTAAATAGAGACAATGATTCAAGCTAAGACGAGAGATAAGAGCGCGATAGGGAATTAAAAAAAACATGCAGCCCTATTAACGACTTAAGGAAAACTGACGTCCTTACAAAGGCCTGGAGCTATTGTTCAGCTAACACAACCAAATGCAGAAGTAAACGAAAATCGTAGTATAGCTTGTAATCTGTCATAATTATATTATTATAATTATATGTAGTTCTAGCTGTAGTGTAGTTATCTTAATTTCCTGCTTGGTGGTGTACCCCCTTTCCTCCCCTATTTGTACTTCACTCTCTATAGTGAATCTCCTCTTCCTTGCTCCAATTCTCTTGATAGTCATGCCTAGCCTAAACCCTAGGATGGCTCCTAGTCTCACCCTCTAGCTACTATTCTGACATAATCGTCTAACATAGTCTCTACTTAATAGCTAGAAGTCTTCCCGCCTTTAGGAGATAGCAGCAGATGGAGCGTGAGTATCGGGCTGATATGAAGAACTGGGCTCCACTCACGAGTGGGAGAGACAAAGAAGAAAAGGGACGTCGAAACCATAGAGCAGTTCAAATTTCGTCGCACAAAAACTGAAAAAATAAGGTTAAAAATGATAGTGTTTATGTTGTTCCTAGCGGAGTCGTAAGCAAACCGGCTAGACACTGAAAGGTTACCAATTCGATTCCAGAAGGCTCGGTGTTAAGCTGTTCTTGGAAACAACCCAAAATGATTGTTGGAACGTCCAAGTTTTTTACAATCTATTAGCTTTACAGGTTAATTTACTTTTGCAAAATGCTTCACAACCTTAAGACGATTTCGTCGCCTCTTGTTTTTTTGTGTGAATGTTATAACACTATGACAGTGCATACATTCTCAGTAGTAACTTCTGAGTTTCTGTATAACGAGAAAAGCTAGCGGACACGTCATGTTCTAATATATCCTCGTGGCATGACAAGCTGCACCAGAGGTAATTGGCTGCTGCGAACATTGCTGGGCTAGCTGATGAGAACGGAGCTTTCTAGGTACTGGATCAGTCATATGTGATTACTAGTCGAGTATACTCCCAAGCAAACTCTCCCTTGACCTCACCTTTTTGTGTAGTAGGAATTGCAGAGCAGGCGCCTTGTTTTGTGAAGTTTGCTTATCGCCTTAGGTCTCATGATTTCTCGACTCTGAAATTTGGAAACTGGTAGTCAAATTTGAAAGTAGAGGATGAGATAATTAGTCAGCGTCCAGTCGTCATGACGATGAGCCTTCTGAGCGAAGAGGCACCAGCGACTGCACAAACGGCACAGAGTCCACCAGGCATCACCCGAACCCCGCCGACCCCTGTACATAGCAGAAGTTCGACCGCGCTCCTTTTGCAACGCAGACACGCAATGCTTTATGATCCGCAGTTCTTACAAGCTCGACAACAAAGACTAGTGACGGGGTCTGCGTCTATCCCAAATTCGTTCACTTTCAGGCGACTGAACAGCGTTCCCTGTCAGACCCCTCTCAGCTGGACAGCTGGTATCACATCGCATGTAAGAACCACCTTGGCGTTGCAGGTGCCAGCTCAACAGTCGATAAGAAGGCTAGAGGCTACAAGGCCTAGAGTGCCAAGATGTAGCAGTCATTCCGGACCAGTTTCAGCAGCTGCTTATAGCGGATCAGTACCTGGCATAGCCAAATCAGCAGCTTCTGAAACACCTGCTTCCCGCACGTCTCTTGTTTTTCTCAGCCTGCGTGATTCGTTTCTCAGACCGACAGCTTTTCAAGAGAGCAGATATAGCAACGGGTTGAGGAACTTCAGTAGCAGCATCAGCAGCAACAATGGCAGTGGTGTCCATTCCAGTATTGGGGGGAGTGGTAGTGGAAGCAGCAAGCGGTGGTTAGTTTCTGACCGCTTCAAGCTGTCAAACAGGAGGCCCAGGTCTTTTCCGTTGGTGCTAACAGCAGCAGTTGCTACAGCAATATTGGCGTCTGCACACTCATCCGAGAGAGGGTTGTCGGTTCCTGTCCCCGATTCAGTCAGATCCGTTACCACTAGAGCTATTCATTCCGCCAAAAAGTTCAGGGACCATGTTGTACATAGCGCTTCTCAGTCAGCCTCTGCAGCTGCCGAAGCTGGAGCTAAGGCTCGAGATGCTGCCGTGGCAACAGCAGCCCTGGCTCGATGCTTAGCTGCCATCCTCTCCTCCGACTCGCTTCCTGATCTAAATGTGTGGGAGCTCCGTGATTATAACGAAAGGCGGAATGCACTGGAAACAAGGAGCTCTGATAAGAGCCGATACAGGTCTGCTCCTAGACCCTCTCCCCTCCCCCCTTCTCTTGACGGTGCTCCATGGGTTGCACGCGTGGCAAGGACCATTGCTGATCTGGCAGCGGCAGGAGGCAGCGCCAGCAGGTCAGCGATTGCTGACGCAAGTAAAGGGAAGGTGCTTGATTGGCTGCTGGAAGGGCTCGTTAACAGTGACTCTCGAGTGAGGAGGGAGGCGGCTCGGGCAATTGCCAGCCTGTTGAGAGACGCTGACGTGGCACCAAGAGTGCTGAATAGAGAGGGCAGCATCCGGCGAATTCTGACGTGGATAGCAGAGCTGGATTCTGCTGCAAGCATAGAGGCAGGAAGAAGCGCATTTGCCAGTCCTGATGTTTCCAGTACGGAGCACGCTGGTGATCATTCAGGTGCTGGTGAGAGCTCAGGTGCTGGCAACAGTGCGTCCGGTGGTGCTAAGTTATCACCGAAGCCATCCTCTGTTCGCCTGTCGAGTGCACTTCTGCGCTATCACCCCCTTATAGACGCACTTATGGACCTCCTCACTGAACCACCCCCGCTGACCCAACATTCGATACAGTCACGCCACCCTGCTTCACTGCTAAGGCCCGACATTGAGCCGCTGAGAGGGCCAGACCTGGTTGAACGGGCAGCTGAGGTGGATGTGAGGGCTGCCCTGGATGTGCTTACATGGGGGGAGCCTGTAGAGAGGGAGGAGAGCAGAAGGTGGTGGGGGTGGGGAGGGAGGAGGGGAAGCGAAGGGGGGAAAGGGGTAGGAGAGCGAGGAGGAGAGGGAGGCAGGGGAGTAGAGGATGGGGGATCAGGGGGGATGGGTATTGGACTTGGGGGTCATGCTGGCACGACCATATGGGGAGTCATGATTGATGCAGCCAATGAGACCATGCCACGTGTCTGTGCTCCAGAGGCTGGCGTGCTTGCTTACAGGACCAGAAGTGTTGCTGATGAAAGATTCATTGGTGAGAGGACCAGGTTTGAATCGTTTGACCAGGCCAGACTTCCAGGAACTGGACAGGGTGGGCAGGGAAGGAAATGGGATGATGCTTTTTCAACTCCTGGGCTGTGGGACGATCTGCCAGGGCAGTCAGTTGCTGCCTTGCTGGCAGCATGGGCAATCGACAAGTGGACCGCCACGTCAGCATTCAATCGCCAGCTCATTGCCAGCATGGACAGCGAGGGAGATGCTTTGGCGGTTGTTGCGGTGGCACCTGAACAAATGGTGAGGTTCCATGTGGCACGCGCTATTGGAAGGGTTGCAAGGGAGCAGGAGATGTGCTTATACGGAGGGAAAGGTGATGAGAAAGATGGGAAGGGCGACGGTGTGTTAAGCAAGGTCGGCGCACGAGTGGCAGGGTGGAAGGATGCTGTGGTTGTGAGGTCTCAGAAAATTGTGAGTGGAAGGAGGGAGATGGAGGAGAGGCCAGGGAGTGAAAGAGCGACAATAAAAGAAGGGAAAACCAAGGGAGACGGAATGGCAGCCTGGGGAGATGGAACAGTGGCAGGAGGAACAGGGGCCGGAGCAACAGGGGCAGCAGCAAGCTTGTTTGTGACGCCAGCAGCCATACGCAGCTGGTCACATGCATTGCTGAGCTCAGCATCGCCTCCTTTGTCTGCCTTCCACCACGAAACAGTGACATCACTGTTGCCGCCCTGCATGCACTACGCACGCTTGCAGACATCAGCGATGACGTGGCCTGCATCAGCAATGATGTCAGCAGGGCTGAGCCTTTGCTGCGAAAGGAAATCGCTCTGGAGGCATTGCCGCAGCTAAGGCGTGTACTGGCTGCTTCCACTGCTGCTCCCACTCATTCTGCCGCTGCCTCTGGTTCTGCTCCTGCCTCTGCCACCGCTTCTAGCTCTAACTCTGGTTCTTCCACCAAGAGACGAGACTCTGATGTGCCGTCTGCACGTGCTTCTCCTCCAGGGGGTGTGCGAGCAGGGAAGAGCAAGGAGCAGAGGGAAACTGAGGGTGACAGTGTGGAGGAACGAGAGCAGGCAGAGGAGGAGGAGGTGGTGAACCTGGCTGTAGCGCAGGCTGTGGCGTCACTTGTGCTCGGCCGACGAGTATATGAGGCGGCAGCAGTGGGAAGGCTGATAGGGGGCTCGTTGGCAGACGCAGGAGCACCAGCGCCAGCACCAGCAGCAGCATCATCAGCAGCAGCACCAGCAGCAGGGAAAAAGGCAGCAGCATCCTTGCCAGCAGCCCCATCAACAGCAGCATTGCTATCAGCCCGCTCCACACCAGTCCAGCTCCGCACCACACCAGCAAGCCTGCCAGTGGTGATGCCTACGGACGAGCTGAGGGCGTGGGGACCTGTGCTGGTGAGATGGGCGTGTGGGGTGATGGGTGGTGGAGGGGAATTGAACTCAGGAGCAGGAGAAAAAGGAGGAGTGAATGTAGCTGAAGAACGAGGAGGAGGAGCAGGGGAAGGGAAAGGAGGAGGAGCAGCAGGAGAGAGAGCTACAGGAGGTGTAGCAGCAAGGTTGTTGGGTGGAAGGAGAGGACCGGCAAGGAGCTTCTTGGAGTCGAGTCTGGTGCCTTCTGCTACCGTGGCTGCCACTGCTGCTGCTGGGCAGGCTGTTCTGGTGGAGGTGCTATCTGCTGCTGTTCACATGGCGCATTCCGCCTCTGCCTCCTCTCGTTCTGCTGCTGCTGCTTTGGATTCGCGTGGGGGTGACGTGGCATGGGGGGGAAAGGACAGGGGCGGGAAAGGGGAGCGAGGTAGGGCGAATGTAGGGAAGGAGAAAGAGATTGGCAAGGGAGGGACGGCCGCGTGGAGGAACGGGCAGGTGGGGAGAGGGGCTGAAATTGTAGGGAAGCAGGCCGATGGGGCAGTGGAAGGGAGGCAAGAAGGGGTGGATGTGGAAGGGGGAGAAGTGGGGAGCTACAAGCTTGGGAAGGAATGGACAGATGTGGCGGTGGGAGTAGGCCTGCTGTGGCTCTCTGAAATGCTCATGTGCGCTGTCAGGGATAAGGAGGCAGCGAGACAAGCAGTGAAAACAGGACGGGCGGGAGTGGGCTCAGGGGAAGTAGCGGGTGCTGCGGGCAGGAAGGGAGAGGGAGGGAGGCAGGGAGGGGGCAAGAGCGCGGAGAGTGTGGGGATGACAGTAGCGACAATGAAGTACCTTGAGTCGCTGTGGAGAGGAAGAAAGGGAGCAAACGGGCAAGGGTCTCCAGCCTTGCCTGCAGATCAACCCACTGGGGCTCATCCTGTGAAAGCTCCAAGAAACCAAGCACTGCCAGGGGGGGATGCGCGTGGGGGAGATTTTCCCAGGAAGCAATTGACTGACGAGCAGTTGCATGGAGGGGCAGGTGGGGCGAGTGCGGGTGAGAGCGCAGGAGAGAAGTCCTCGTGGTGGTCGTATGTGAATCCGTGGGGCGGGTCGGGCGTGGCTGGGGCAGCGGGACAGGCAGTGGGGGTAGGGTCAGGTAGCGTGCAGCAGGGGAGGGAGAGGGGTGTGAAGGGGCGGGGAGAGCAGGCGAGTGGGGCACTGGGAGGGGAGGCGAGAGGGGAGCTGGGAGGGGCGTTGAGTGAGAAGCACCGCGCAGTGAGGGACGAGGCCCTGCGGTCCGCCAGCACTGCTGTGGTCCGCCTGGGTGTGGCGCTTGGGAGCGAGGCCTGGGGATGGGGGGTAGAGGGTGGTGGGAGCGGCGGAGTGGGGGAGAGGAAGAGCGGAACGGGGGAAGGAAATGGCGGTATGGTGTCTGGGGAGCGGGAGGGCTGCAGAGTGCGTTCAGAGGAGCGAGAGGTAGAAGGGTCAGTGCGAGTAGGTATGAGGGGGGCTTTGGGGGAAACGGGAGGAGACGACTCTGTACCAGTAGTACGCGATGCAGGTAAGGCCAGCAGCAGATCCAGCCAAGCTGCTGCGGGTGGTGCTTCTGCTGTTTCTGGTGCTATTAGTAGAAAAGATGCTGATGCTACAGTGAATGTTACTGTAGACGAGCTGCTTAAAGTGGCGGAAGAGGAGCACGAGCATCTAATGGACCTGCTAGGCTTTGAAGGAGGGCTGTACTCTACGCGGTCAGGACTGGTAGCTTCTAACGAGGATAAACCTCCAGCCAGTGATGAGCCTCCACGTGTGAATGTTGTAGAGGCTCTGGATGCGGCTGCAGCAGCGGTGAAAGCGCTCGCTGAGCTGGCGAGTGAGGATTGGGAGATGCAGGAGCAGCTGGTGGCAGGTGGAGGGGTGGAGCTGATGCGGCGGCTGCTGATTGGTCGGGAGTACTGGGAATGGGTGAGAGGCGAAGAGGAGGTCAAGCGGAGGGATGAGAATGGAGTTCTGGAGAGTCAGTTGGATCGTGGGAATCCAAACAGCAGCAGCCATCAGCACAGCAGCAAACAAAGCAAAGGCAGAAAGGTTGACAGTGCTGGTGGCGACAATAGCATCAGTGAGAGTGCTGGGAGTGAGTGTGGAAAAAGGGGCCTTCTGATTGGCCTCACTGCAGCTGCACCTGCCACTGCAGCTGCACCTGCCAAATCGGAATCCCGCACAGCCTCCCAGCCCATCTTAATGCCAGCCACCCGCTTAACAACATCTCAATCAGCCGCTGCCACATCAGCAGCAGCGAGAGGTGGAGCCACAGTAGTGGCTCCTGCAGGTTCTGCAACCGCACCTGCTGATGCTGCAGGAGAGGAGGGGCTGGAAGCAGCCAGGTTGAACCTCACAAAGCTCCAAAGGAATGCCGCCCGGCTGCTGGCTCAGCTATCAGCTCACCCCGACTCGTGGGAGGCAATCGCCGGAGATCCGCTTCTAATTGGCTGGCTTGAACAGTGCACCACAGGCGGGGTGCGTGAGGATGCAAAGGAGAGAAGCGGCAGAGGGAGTGAGCGAGTGAGTGAGAGAAAGAGGAAGATGGAGGAAAGCCGTAGAGGAAGGGAGCAGGACGACTCACACCACGTGCTCTTATCAGCACGTGGTGTGAGAAGCTCTGAGCAGTCGGACTCTGATTTGGAGGAGTACAGTCGTGTGCTGTGCGATGCGTGTGTGAGCAACAAGATGCGATCCAATGCCCGCAAGGTGCTCTCCCATGCTGCTCCCGCCCTCCATTCTCGGAAATCTCTGCAAGCACCAGCTCCTGTTGCTGTGAGCACTGGTTTCACGTCAGCCTCAGGCTGGCATGATGAGTGTGACGTGTCGGTGCCAGGCTGGCACGAGCCTGGGAAGCAGTTCACGCCAAGGTATGACGATGGCATTTTCTTTGTCAACCCCTCCAGCCCATGGCTCCAATCCCACTCCCTCCCCACCCCTCTCTCCTCTCCTTCACCTTCTTCTACCTCTTCGTCTTCCTCCTGCTCCTTCTCCTCCTCCTCCTCCGCCTCCTCACCCTCCTCCTCCTCAAACATGACAGAGACCCCTGCGCCTGTGTTGGACGTGGTGTTTGTGCATGGGATGAGGGGCGGTCCCTTCAAGTCATGGCGCAGGGGAGAGGCAGTGCCTGCTGTAGCACCGCCTCCCGGAGCACCCATGGCAACTGTAGCGAAAACGCCTGTAGCGGGGACGCCTGTAGCGGGGGCGTCTGTAGAAAAAACGCCTGTGGTTTTGGTCCCTGACGAGGAGCCGAGGATAGAGCGTAGGGTAGGAGAAGGGGTGCGAGAGAGTGAGGTTGTGAGAGTGGGTGAGGTGGTGGGTGAGGATGAGAGAGGGGGTGAGAGAATGAGACAGGGTGGGGTAGAGATGGAAAGCATGATGGGTGGGGAGATTAGGAGGGAGGGAGTGGGACGAGGTGGGGAAAGGGATGGAGGGAAGGAGGAAGGGAAGAGTGTGGGAGATACAGAGGCATCAATGCTAGGGAGAGGGGGGAGTGTGGTGGAGGTGGAGCCGTCAAAGTTGCTGGAGGCGACACTGAAGGAGGAGGAGGAGGGTGGCAAGAAGGGGTCGTGCTGGCCCTGTGACTGGCTTGTCAGGGACCTGCCTGAAGCACGAATCCTCACCACCAAGTACAGGGTGTGTTTTTCCTCCCTTTTTTTTCCTGGTTTCTTTTTACGTGATTCTGGAACCATGCGCTATCTTAATGTCATTGCGAATCTCACTCAAGTGTCAACTGAATGAAGAGTGCAAAGGCGCTTGAAAACGTCCCAAAGCTCGGTTTCCTCTTCTTGACCCCTCAACCCTGCCCTTCTCTTTCCAATCTCCTGTCTGGTTTACGTTATGCTCTTACCACCCATCCTCAAACCTGTCAATCTCGTTGCAGACGAATCTCTCCGAGTGGGCCGGGGCAACCCTTCCATTACAGGCAAGTGCTGTATCTCCCTCGTTGCCCTAGTGGTCCCTCTTCTCTTTCCTTACCTCTTGTTGTTAGCTGCTTCTTCCCTTGCGTGCGTGGTCATTCTTGTTTGTTTCCTTTCGATGGGGAGATGCCTACAGGAGCTTGATTGCCCTCGCTTTCTCCGCCTGACGTCCTGCCTCTTCCCTCCCCACCTCCTCCCGCAGGACATCAGCATTCTGCTGCTGCACAAGTTGGTGGCAGCGGGAGTGGGCAAGAGGCGGGTGCTGTCTGTGAGCTCTTTGAGACGCCTCAGATGTCCTGTTTTTACCCTCGCCTCCCCCCTTCTCCCCACCTTCCTCCCGCAGGACATCAGCGTTCTGCTGCTGCACAAGCTGGTGGCGGCGGGAGTGGGCGAGCGGCCGGTGGTGTTTGTGACGCACAGCATGGGCGGGCTCATCGTCAAGCAGATGCTCGCCCTCGCACGTGCCAGCGACCTGCCAGAGATTCGAGCCTTGGCTGAGAGGACAACAGCCATCGTAAGTCTAGCTGCCTGTCACATGTCAGTGAGTGGGCGTATGGTGGGTCTCTTGTGTCCGCGATGCACAGCATGGGCGGACTCATTGTGAAGCGGATGCTCGCCCTCGCATGTGCCAGCGACATGCCAGAGGTTTGAGCCGTGGCCGACAGCACGGCAGGCATTGTGAGTGCCGCTGCATGCAGGGGAAAACTCTCCATGCATGCCTTATGAATTCCTGTTCATGGCTGTTGTATTTTCCCCACGGATCCACTCCACTGTCCAAGCCTAAATGCCCTTCCGCCTCTTGCTCCTTTCCCCCTTGCAGGTATTCTATTCCGTGCCGCACTTTGGCAGCAGGATAGCAGACTACTCGTGGAGAGCCCGAGCTGTGCTGCGACCTGCACCTTCGGTGCGTCTTCTCCCTCCTCTTTGCCAACCCTTGTGAAATCAATGCAGGCGATGTTTGCCTTGCTGCTTGCTGTGCTGGTGCACTTCCTGCATCTTTTCGTGCGTTCTACCCCTATCATAATCCTGCTTGGCTGCGTGACCTTCTGGCTCACTCACTCCTTTACTTCACGTGTCATCGCTTCCGTTGCACCCCGCTTTCATCACGCGACTGTTATCTGCGTTCATAATTCGCTTTTCTCAAAACTCCGTGTGTTTCCGAATGTGGGTGCATGCAGGCGGACTGTCTGCGCATGTCATCGCCCCATGTGGAGGGTCTCAACACCATGCTGAGGCACATGCACAAGCAGGGCAAGATTCAAGTGCTCTCCTTTGCAGAGGTGCGCGGGTGGGGAGAGGGCGCGGTGTAGTTGTGATGTTGGATCAGGGGCTTTTATATTGGCACATTCCGAAAATAGATTGTTCGGTGAACAACGTCACATAAAAAAGGGGGATAGTTTAGGCTGCAGTGGAAGGCATACCTACGTGAGGGAAACTTCAAAACCTTATCTGATGCACTTTTCACCACTCCCCCACCTCCCCCCTCCTTTTTATGTTTGCTGTTTGTCTCTGTCTCCCGCTCGCCCCTGACCAGACGAAGGTCACGCCTCTGGTGAAGACTTATGGAGGGCTGACGCTGCGACTGGAGGTGGTTCCACTGGAGTCGGCCTACCCAGGATTCGGGGAGTTTGTGGTGAGTTGGCCAAGCTTGTCAGTGGGATTGTTGTGGCCTTCATTCCTGCCATGCCAATCATGATGTTTTTTGTGGTGTTGGTTTGCTTGCTGGTCTGGTGGTGCATCACTCCGCATTTATGACATGGCATGTTTGTGGCTTCTGATGGGTTTCATAAAAGGTATCATATTGTCATTGTTGAATGTGCAGGTGTTGGACGGCACTGACCATATCAATGCTTGCAAGCCTGTTAACTCTTCCGACCCCGCTTATGCCAATACACTCAATTTCCTTCTCAAGCTTCGAGATGCTACTCAAGAATGCGGATGAAGAAAATGGAAGGAAGTAGGACGTGTAGTCCCTGGTTGGATGCAATGGTAATTCAGTATGTTTTCTTGATGTAAGTTTTTTTTTTTTGTATTGAGTTCTGTATAGACGAAGTCCTCATTGTGATTGTAGGACACGCTGTACCCTGGTTCCCTTGTGTGACATTTGTTTAAACGAGGTTGACCTAATTGCACGAAAAGCTGTCCTGTGAAATCGGACTCTCAGTAAAATACCATATGCAAGGCGCCTGCATCCCCAAGATCTCGAATCATCGAAGGGCTAACATTCAACAACCCAATGTCATCGACGGACGATTCCAAGAAAGCACAGCGCAGCGCGTACCGCGGTCTGAGAGCCTGACCAGCCGTGTGTCACGGGAAGATGGGCGCTTCGCGCGCTTCCCCTCGACCACTGACGTCCAGCTGTGTGGTTCGGTGTGCGAAAGGTGTTGGTTGCATTCTGCGTAAATTCTGGTAGGCCTTTCGAAAAAGGGTACGTTTTCGATGTTCCCATTGTTAAGTGAACATCCATTTTCAACTTTTCATGTAGTTGCAGAAGAGGCCTTCTTGAATAAAACACTTGACGGCCTGTTTAAATAAGTTTGACGTGTAATAATAAAAAACATGGAGCGGAGTGAACTACCCTCGAGAATTCCGACAAAGGGTAACAGCCTACGGTATTGGGTGCCGTACCTGCGTCCCAAGCCAAACCGCACTTGGTGTGTCACGGTGCAACTAACGAGCGGGAGCAAAACTCGCGCTACCGTCATCACCTTCCACAGCTGTGCTGTACCGTTGCGTGCGGGCTTGTTTTGTGCACTGCCACTCAACTCACCCTCGCTCAAACACCTAGCACGACCACAACCACCCTGGCTTCGGAGCTGCCCTGGGACTGCTCTGGTTTCAAGGGCTTGGCTTTATTTTATTTCATCCAGCAATCACATGCCCAACGCACAACTTCGCCCACAGCTTTACTTTAGCTCGTGCCAAACGTTCGAGGGCGCTCTCAGACTACAGATTGTGGTCCTTAATCTGCTCAATTGATCTCTAACCAGCGTAGAAGGATCTCTCGAACCTTACGATCTTCGAAGCCACTAAAGACAGGAACTTAGAAACGCAGGGTAGCATTCGTAACCATGTCGGAGCGCAGCAACGTCTCAGCCTCTGGCCCCAGAGCCAATCCTCTCTACGGCGGACCAGCTAACCCCAGCGCGGGAAACCGAACCCCTTCATGGGCGCGTAAATCCGGCGTAGGCGGTGCCCGGCCGTCGTTCAGCGATGCCGCCTCTTCCCCCCCTGATTCCCCCGCGCGCTCCGCCCGAAGCAACAACGGCCCATCCTACTACGCTCCGCACTACGAGCACCCCGGCTACACCGTCGAAACGCCCGGCGCTAACGACGCTATGCTGGGGCAATCCCCGTTCCGCGCGCCCCGTTACTACGTGCAGACGCCCGCGCACTCCGAGCGCCCCGGCTCCCCCATGTCGTCAGTCCCCGACTCCCCCGCGCACACCATGTCGTACGATATGCGCAGTGTGCGGTCCGGGAAGCCAGGCTCGTCGCGCGTCTACGGCGCGCCGGCTCGTCCGGCCGCGGCGCCGCTTGCGTCGCGGATCAACGAGGAGGGCGACGAGGAGGAGCAGCTGTACGAGCCGCCGGCGAAGGAGGCGTCGGGAGGGCGGTCGAAGCGGAGCAAGCGGTTCTGGACGATCTGCATTGTGGTGGGGATCCTGGCGCTCGTCCTTGCGGCCGTTGCGACGGGCATCGCGCTTTACTACGTGTTCCAGCCTGATGCTCCCACGTACACCTTCGATGTAAGCACATTCGTTTTGATGCACCGGGTCCGGGATCGCGAGTCTAAGGTTCACGACCCATGCTCGTTTTAGCTTCTGAATCCACTTAAGGCATGCTCGTTTTCGATCGTGCTCATCCTTTTCCTCTGTTCTCCCCGCTCCTCATGACAACTGTTTCAGTATGCGACGCTCAACGAGTTCCAGATTGTGAACAAGCTCGCTGACGGAACCGGCTTGCCGACAGACCAGCTTTTCGCCAACGTTACTTTCGTATTTTCTGCGATCAACCCGAACGGAAAGTACACGCTACAGGGCGATGGTGGTCTGCTGCAAGTCGGCTACAGCTCCATTCCTACCCTCATGCAAGGAGGGGTGAGTGTTTTCGTAATGTATCTTTTTGCTGCAACTGTTTCATGCCTACAAACGAGCCAAATCGTCCCCGTTTTCTCAGGTGCCAGGTCTCCACTCTCTAATCTCCTCACACAACCTCTATTCCTCTGCCTCTTTTGTGCCGCCTTCAGGTCCCCTATTTCGCCCTCAGCTCTAAGAACTTCACCAACTTCACTACGTCCGTGGGTGTGGCCATGTACCCGTTATACGGCGTTGGCCCTGGGCTGCGTCAGGACATCATGGCAGAGTACATCAGCATGAGTCTTCACGCGCAGGTGGAGTCTCGTATCGAGATGGCGTGGAAGATTGTGCAAACGCATTACACGCACGTCATGGACTGCAGTGTAGCCTTCAATCCCGTCAATCTGCAGTATCTTAATGATACTTGCGTGTTCAAGAGAAAATGAGTAGGGGGTTTGGGGAGTCAGGGAATAACTAGGATGTTGCTATGGCAGCAGTTCTGGGAATCTTGGAGTGGTTGTGCTGCCAAGCTAGCTGTTATTGATTAGATCGATAGATTATGATGTACTTCCTGTATTGAACAAGAACCCTTGTTTTAGAACCTGTAATATGGCATTGGCCGTCATAAAAAGCTGATGAGATCGATGCATGAAACATGATTTTAATCAAACAAATCTTCACTAAATGTTTGGTGAGGATTGGTGAAGCAAAAAAAATATTCCACGCACTTTTCAGTGAAATCCTGGGAACAGATCCAGAACCACGACTCCCCCCCCTCGTCAGCTGTGCAATTTCTGGTTCTGCTTATGCAATTAGGTGGCAGGTGAACAGTTGTCGAGTTCGCTTTCTGAAGTTTGTCAACGTGGTTGTATCGCAGCTGGCTTATAACGCCGAAATACGCGGGCACAACGACAGCGAGCCAGTTGACCCACTTTTCCTGTTTCAGAATTTTAATTTTATATATATATATATATATATATTTTTTTTTTATTTCTTGTCGGTTAGACCAGTCACCTTAGTAGCCATTATGTCGGAACCGCCAGCCAAGCGCCCAAGAGGTCGTCCGAGAAAAAACCCTCTTCCCGATAACGCCGCGAGCCCCGCAACTGGCGCTGCCGGAACGCCGTCGAGAGTTCCGGCTGCGGCCGCTAGAGCTGCTGCCACTAGAGCAGCGGGAAATAGAGCAGTCGAGGAGGACGATGACGCGCAGCCACGTCAGTCCAAGCGCGCTGCCACGGCAGCAGGAGGCAGCGCAATTTACAGCTCGAGCAAGCCACTGTCGCAATGTAGGCAGTCGCTGTTTTTACTAGTTAAAAAATACATCATACCCGCGAAGTTTTTTATTCTATGGCTGCTGTTTGTACCTTCCTCGCGCGTCTCCTCGCGTCACGCAATTGCAACAGCGAAGCTCTCTCTTTTGCATTGCACATTGTCACACGCTCTTTATTGCCTTCCGCAATTTCCGTATTTCCCTCAGTCCCCGTGACCGCGTCTGTCCTTTCGCGCCCCGTGTTTCCCGCCGTGCCTGCGTGTGTTCCGCAGTGAGCCCGCGAGTGCTCGTTCTTGCTCCAGATGAGGTACGCTCCTTAGAATACGACTTGAAAATAAAAATAGAGAAATATATATATAAAAAACAACTAACGTCTTACAGCCGGCCTGCTCCTTACTGTTACGTTCGGTTAGATAATAATCGTAGCATTTCAAGGGTCAAGCTCTCTTTTTGTTATTTTACTCTAATTTCTGGATCATCTCTCCCTCCACTCCCATTCCCCCGCCCCGCAGGACGTGGCGACGCGCATATTCCTCGAGTCGCAGGCGGGGCCGAACGTGGGCGTGTGCGTGCTCTCCGCCAACGGCTCTATTTCCAGCGCCACGCTGCGCGACCCTTCTGGCGGCGCCAACACCACCATTCACGAGGTGCAGTGCGGTGCAGAGAGGTTGAACGGGATTGCGCCCTAGAGCCACATTGGTTCCCTCAGAACCCCTTTATGGCTCTTCAGATTGTTTTTAGCTTCTTAGCATGTTTTCTACCTTCCCTGCCTCATGACTGCTGCCCCACCTCTACCTTTCCCCCCTGATTTTCCCACTTAGCCCCTCTCCATCTCCCTCTCCCTCTCTCTCTTCCCTCTTCCCCTCCCCCTCTCCTTCCTCCCAGGGCCGGTTTGAACTACTGAGCATGTGAGGCCCATCTCCCCTCCCTTCTCCTCAACTGCCCCCCACTCCTTCCCTCCGCTCTCCCTCCCCCCAGGGTCGCTTTGAGCTGCTGAACATGTCGGGCTCGTTTCTGCCGCACGACCCAGCGGACCCCGATGGGCGAATGGGCGGGCTGAGCGTGAGCCTCGTCAGCTCCAACGGCCGCGTCGTGGGTGGCGGCGTGGCGGGCCGCCTCGTTGCTGCCACGCCCGTGCAGGTGAGCTGCTGGTGGGATAGAGTGTGGGAGGGAATTGGAAGGGAGGGGAGGGAATGGGGGCGAAGGGGAAGTAATGGGGGTGTGCGACTTTTGTTCTGAGTCGACTCAAAAGGCTGCTTCGTTGCTGCCACAGCCGTTCAGGTGAGCCGCTGGTAGGATACGGTGTGGGAGGTAACGGGTGAGCCGCTTGAGGGAATGGGGGTTGAGGGGAAGTAATGGGGGAAGTGTGACTTTTGACTCGACTTGAAGGGCGCCTTGTTGCCGCCACACCCATTCAGGTGAGCAGCTGACGGGGATAGGGGGTGTGCGTGTGGATGGAAAGTAAGGGGGGTGTGCGACTTCTGAGTCGACTCCCGCCTCGTTGCCGCCACGCCCGTTCAGGTGAGCAGCTGGTGGGGTTAGGGGGTGTGCTTGTGGGAGGGAATAAGGGTGGGGGAAGGAAGGGGCTTGGGGCTTATGCGCTTGTGTGTGAGCGTGTCTGTCTGTTTGTGTTGTGGTGTGGGAGGGAGGGAGCTTGGGGCTCAGCGTGAGGTGCATGGGTGGGGGGGGGGTTGTACCAATTTCTTCCAAGTGCCGTGTCCTTTCTCCCTCTGCAGGTCATACTGGCCACGTTTCTGCACGACCCCAGCAATCTGGCCACGCCTGGGTCAAGGCCAGCTGCTGGGAAGTAACGGCAGCAGTAACGGCAGCAGTAACGGCAGCAGTAACGGCAGCAGTAACGGCAGCAGTAACGGCAGCATGAAGGGCAGCAGTGAGAAGTAGAAATGGTAGTAGAGAGTGCAGCAGGATGGGCACCAGAAGGGCTGTAAGCAGGGCACCAGTCCTCTGTGCTGGGGATGTATTTCTACAGTAAGTGAGGGGTAGGTGCGGAGGCGATCCTTAGTTTTCCCGAAAACGTATCGAAGTAGTGTGCTGGGTTGTGAAAGTCTTATATTGCAGAGAACTGAGGCTCAGGTCTCTGCATGCCATGTCAAAAATAAGTAGCTTTCTAATCCCTGTCAAGCAGTTTAGATGCAAACTCAAGAATCAAATGGGAGAGGCAAACAAGGATTACAACCCCATAAAAATGCTGAAAAGGCTCAGCGCGTCAAGCAAGAAAAGGATGCCGATTTCGAATTGAGCGTTCAGCCACATCATCCATGTGGAAACTGCTGGCTGTGGGGTTTGAACCCACGCGTGCTGAAGCACAAGAGATCTTAAGTCTCCCCCCTTGGACCACTCGGGCAAGCCAGCTGTAAATAATCCTCAGATAAATAATATTTGGTGATACATTAAGTTTGTCAACAGCTTAAAACCGGGGTGCACATTCAGCTGAATGTGCATCAAAGGTTATCCCTTGACTGAGTGGGTTACGAGGTGTGCTTTCAACCCCTTCAAGTCGAAATTCGTTTCCCCCCTCCCCCGCAATTTCGTTTCCCCACGCCCCCGCAATTTCATTTCCCCCTCCCCGTCGAAATTCGTTTCCCCCCTCCCCCGCAATTTTGTTTCCCCCCTCCCCCGCAATTTCGTTTCCCCCCCCTCCCGCCTATCTGTTTCATCCCTCCCGCCATTCGGTTTCACCCACTCCCGCCATTTCACCCCCTCCCGCCACCTACGAAATGCCCGAAGCTCTAGCGGAATCATTTTTTTGTCGCCCCTCGTGAGCCAATCACTGTTTTTCTCCAAACCCCCTTCCCAACATCTCAAGCCGAACCGCGTTGAATGTGCACCCTGGTTTTAAGAATTGCATGTACGCCTTTGCTTTGGGTGAAAATGTTGAGATGGTAGTTGCCCAATTGGCCTTAAATATGTGAGAGTGCACTTCCTTCTTTCAGGCTATCTCACCCTTTAACGAGGCACCGCATCCTAAGAGCAGCATTCAGCCCAGATTTTGCCCTATCCTGAACATTCATTCAACCTCCTGACCACCACTTATTTTCCAAACCCGTTCTCGAATTCTTCTCCCCCTTTCACCCCCCATCCTCCACCCACTCCCTCGCTACAATCACCAACCTTCAAACCAAAGCGACTCTTCCAACCCCTCTCTACCTTGCCCCACCGCACTCTCCTCCTCTCCCGCAGCCCCTTGCTTCTTCTCCTCCTCCACCATCCTCCCCCTCTCCCCTTGCACCTCCCCCACCCTCCTCACCAGCTCCTCCGGCGCCGGCCAATCCAGCGCCGCCACCTGTTCCCACGGCACGCCAGCAAACCAAGGGTGGGTCTTGATAGCCCCGGCCCCGCCAGGGCCGCACCCGAGCCGGTCTTCGGGGCGCGGGGAGAGCAGCTGGTGGATGAGAGCGGAGGCGGCGGGGGGGAGGTGGTCGGGCAGGAAGAGTGCGTGGCGGGCGATGCGTGTGTACACTGTCAGCTCGCTGTCCCTCCATGAGCCAAAGGGTCCCTCGCCATGCAGCAGAGCGAATATGAGCACCCCCAGGGACCACCTGAGAGGGGGGGGGGGGGGGGATGTGAGTTTTGATTTGACTGAAAATACATATGAGCACTGGCAGGAACCCTGAGTGGAGCGGTGGGAGCCGGGGGGAGGGGGGGGAGCGAGGGGGAGTGCATGTGTGTAAGTGTTGAAGGAGTTTAAGCAGTGGTATGAGGAGCATGATGAGGAGGAGCACACATTGTGTGAGTGCAAGCAGCACGTGAGAATAACTCAGGGAGGGATGGGCTGCCCAGCAGGCAGCCCTTACCAGTCAGCAGGCACGCCATGGCCACGCCCTGCAATGACCTCCGGAGCTACGAAGTCTGGCGACCCACACATGGTGAACGTGCGCCCGTCCTCCAGACGCTTGGCGAAACGCAGATCGGGGAGCTGCAGAAAGGTGGTGGGGGGGGGGGGAGGGGGGGGGGGTGTCAGAGAAAGGACAAAGGAGAGGGAGGAGAAACATGGTGAACGTGCGCCCAGCCTCCAGACGCTTGGCCAAACGCAGGTCAGGGAGCTGCAGGGAAGGGTTGGTTTGGGCGGGGGGGGAGGGGAAGGGGGGAATAAGAGGGACGAGTAACGAGGAGACAGGGCGGAGAGGGCGCCCCACACATGGTGAACGTGCGCCCATCCTCCAGACGCTTGGCAAAACGCAGGTCGGGGAGCTGCAGGGAGAGAAGGAGAAGGAAAGGGGGGGGGGAATGGGGGAGAGGGGTAAAGCAGGGGAAGGGGATGGGGGGAATGAGGGAAAAATGACAACACGAAGGAGGGAAGAGTGGGCGTGTTGGAAAGAAGCAGCAAGTCTTGATAGCTTGAGCGCAGCAAGTCTTGATAGCTTGAGCGCAGCAAGTCTTGATAGCTTGAGCGCAGCAACAACACACCCCACAGTCCACGCCCCGTTCCCTTTCCCTGCACCCACTTCTCTTTCCCTTCGCCCCACCCACCTGCAGTTGGCCTCGAGAGTCGAGGAAGAGGGTGGAGGGGGACACGCCTCGAAACACCACTCCGTCCTGGTGGGCGCGAGGGGAGGAAGGAGAGAAACACGTAGATAAATGCTGAACCGCAACAGCAGTAGAAAATAGATTTTCCACACGAGCCTTTTATGTCGAAGGGATAGGAACGTAAGATGGAAGCGGAACAAGAATCTGTGAAGTTTGTGAGCATTGGAAAGTCGTGTCATGAATTGGAAGATGCAAGTCAACGCAAGTCAAACCGGGTCAACGCACCCGGTGCATCAGCTCCATTGCCACGACAAGACTTGCCGCCACAAACCGGGCGGCATCCTCCGGCAGTGGAGGGAAAACGTCGGGCCCTGCCTGCCCCCCCGCTCCCTCCCTGCCGCCCATGACCAGCGCCAGCGGCGTGCTGAGCTGGCAGTCCAGCAGCAGGCCCACGGAGGCATGGTCGGTGTACGGCGTGATGACAGGTGGCACAAACGGATTGGCTGAGAGGGTTTCGAAGAGATTGCGTTCCCGGTGGACCTGGAAGGGTATGAAAGAGAAGGCACCGAGGGATGGGAGAGTGAGATGGACGGGGAGAGTAAGGGATGGGGGAAGTGAGGGATGGGGGGAGTGAGAGGGATGGGGGAGTGAGAGGGATGGGGGAGTGAGAGGGATGGGGGAGTGAGAGGGATGGGGGAGTGAGAGGGATGGAGTAGTGAGAGAGGGGAGCTGGGTGTGTATGAAGTGACGACTTTTCTTTAACGCCTCAAGGACCGCCATAAAGGGGATTTGCGAGGCGGGTTGGGAAAACGCTGTATCGTCAAGTGGGAAGTGAATAGCACACCCGTTGAGGTGCAAACCTGTTTGAAAAATTTGGTGGGCGCAACCCACCCATCAAGCATATAGCCCCACTGAGGTGCGAGAGAGACCGCACCTGCTTGCTACGGCTGTGCAGCCCCACGCGCGTCTTGCCGAACCGCCGCATGGCGAAAACCCTCCCCACGTTCTGCACTCGCAGCTGCACGACCTCACTCCACTCGTTGCTCGCTAGCACGTCCTGCCACTCCTGTTGCGCACCGGGAAGGGGGGGAAGGGGGAGAAGGGGAGGGGGGGAAGGGTGGTGGTGTATAAGAAAGCAGCACCCACAGCTGCACCACCTCACTCCACTCGTTGGCTGCTAGCACGTCCTGCCACTCCTGTTGCACAGGTGGGGGAAGGGAGGGAACGGAAGGACAACACGGGAGGGGGGAGGTGAGGGTATTAGAAGCAGCACTCGCAGCTGCACCACCTCACTCCACTCGTTGCTCGCTAGCACATCCTGCCACTCCTGTTGCGCACCGGGAGGGTGGGGAGGGGGAGGGGGAAGATGTGCCCATGGTGAGCAGAAGGAAGGAGGGAGAGGGTAAGGACGGAGGGTGAGGGAGGTTGGTAATGGAAGGAGCCACACGGAGGCACCAACTCGCACCACTCATCACCTCACACCGCCTCGCCCCATTCACCACCTCGCACCACTCATCACCTCACACCGCTCACCACCTCGCACCATTCACCACCTCGCACCATTCACCACCTCGCACCACTCACCACCTCGCACCATTCACCACCTCGCACCACTCACCACCTCGCACCACTCACCACCTCGCACCGCCTCGCAACACTCACCACTTCAGCCGCCACGATCCCCTCCAAGATCTGCCGCATCTCGTCCCCCTGCCTCTTTGCCGCCAGTGCCTCCTGGAACCGGCACCACTCTGCATCCACCCGCACCGCATCGCTCAGCGGCCCCACAGCCGCCTCAAACTTGTCTCTGTCGATCGCCCAGCACTGCACCTGCCCCCTCGCCACCGCCTTCCTTGGCCCCTCCGTCCACCCTTTCCTCTTCGCTTCCCCCTCCTGCCTTCCGTCTTCCTGCTTCTTCCCTTGCTGCTCGTTCTCCTCTACTTCCCCGCCTTCCACACCTGCAGCTGCCTGTGTGTCTGGATTCGCAGGCCTCTTATCCCCATCGTCCCCATCCAACAAACACGCCTCATTGAAATACTGCAAATCCGTCCCCGCATCACCTTCACTCTTCCCCCCCTCGCCCTCCCCATCCTCCTCCTTTTCCCCATCCGCACCACCCTTCACCAACAACCGCCCCTCCTGCACCACATACACCGTGCCCCCTTCCACCTCCAACCCATCCCCATCGTTCAGCTCAAGCGTCAGCAAGAAGAGCGCAAGGCGCTGAAGCTGACCGAAGGAGAGGGGGGAGAGGAAGGGCAGGGAGCGCAGGAGGCGCAGCAGGCGGGGCGGAGGGCCCATCTCCGCGGACCCTGCCACGAGC